ATTCACTATCTGCAAATTTACAATAAACTCCACAGGTCATTGGGTTGTGTTACTCCATTGCCAACATGAACAGAAAAAACGCAATATTTGTATTAAATGCAAGATGCAAAACACTGCCAAATACAAGACACACTCAAGATTAAATACTTTAAGAAGCAAAATAATCCAGGATAATAATACATACTTTCAGAAGTGGAAAGGAAAATTGTGTTAAAGGTAGTAAACTGCTGCAAATATTTGACTGTCTTATGTAACCTGAGTTAACTTTACATGATTTCAGAAAGTTCCCAGCAAGCAAGACTAACAGACTTCCAACTAATGTAAATGGCATTTCCAAAAGTTTACATGAACTCACTCACATACAAGGTATGACAATTCAAGATCCTAAGGAACATCTAGCATTCATAAAAATATCTATCACACTAACCTCCTTTATTTACACACCAGCTGCACTTCCATCTAGATTGGAACTGTATTTTATTTATAATATAGATAATATATATCCATGATCCACATATACATGCACAACCTCTACTATGACTGAATGTTTCAATACTCAACTACTTTGGCATAAAGTACATTAGAAAGTCTAAATTGGCAAACATTTGCTCATCGCAAAATTCAAGAGGTCATAACTGTCCTAAAGTAAAAAAAAAAAAACAACAAATAATCAGCTGAAATCTAAAGTTTATAATTAAGTTACAAGGGCAATTTTATACCAAGCAACAAGTGTATCCTACAGTCTTCTCTCAAACCACAAGTATTAATAAATAGATTTGCAAATTAGACACTTATCTCCTCTGCCCAACCAGAAAAAGTGAATAATTTTGCAGTAACTGCACTTCAATGGCCAAACATTTCACATTTAAAATATTCATTGGTCACCAAATTCAGTTAGTCTTCATATTTTAAAGTTTTCCAGTTATCAAAATGGAAATGAATATACCTTTTCTACTAGGAAAAGCAGATGGTTCTATAACATTACAAAAAGCAAGCTAAACAATGCATAGTTAGCCAGAAGACAATTTTACACTGAAGCATGCAGCTTAGCACAAAAAATTAAATGTGAGAAAACACTATTACCTTACTTTAATATACTAACCTATAGTGCTAAACATCACTCATACCTAATGTATCACAGTTCATCAACACTTTTACTTTTAAGGTTTCTCAAAGAATTGGAGGCTGGGCAGCAGATACACCTCCTGGCACAAAACCAAAACACTTTAAAACATGTTCCCTATAAGACAAATAAGATAACCATAAGTGTGTCAAGATGTCCCTTGATTCTCAATCAAAGAACAAAGAGAGGAGAAAGAAGATGATGCAACATGAGGGTGGGTTAAAAGACAGTAACAGCCAGCTAGAAAATAATCAGAAAACAGGAAAAGCAAGGAACAGCCACAAAGTCTGAAGTGCCAAAGGAAGAACAGCTTAGAAGTTAGTAAACACGAATCACTTAAAATTAATATTTTAAGCTACATAGATACAGAACCTAAATCTACTGACGTTTAATAGCTTTTTACCTGTTAAACACAGAATTTTAAAAGTTTTTAAAAAAACTTTTTTATTCTTTCAGGCTCTGTGCCCACTACAAAGTATCCTGGCAACAGCAAAAAAAAAATTCAATCTACAGTATTAGCAGATTAGCATGATTGAATTAGGATTGAATTAAATGAAGCAGATGTTTTCCTAAAAGGATAAAAATAGATCTATATTTTAGTATTGTTAAGAAGTTCTATTCAATAGCTAAACAACTGCATGAACACTAACAACTGATTTGCAGGGAACAAAATCTATAAAATGAAGAAAGAAGCAACTTGCTAGGAAGAAGAGTCAGTTCGTGCAGCATACTCTGAGAATAAATTAAACATGCTCCTTTACTTTTGGGACACAAAGGAAAAAATTTAATTGACTCAACTGAAATAAAGCTGCCTTTATAATCTGCACTTGACTAATCTAACATGAATCCAGTTTTTTTAATAAACTATTAGCAATTTTAGATATCTTCATATCTAAGAGATCTGAAATACCTATTATTAGATTTTTTCCAGCAGTCTTTTCTATCCTCATAACTGTTCTCATTATATTAACATGCACTTTATCCACAAACCTGCACAGAAATAAATATACAAGCATTAAGTCTATATAAACAATTCGGAAAGTTTCAATTTGAAATCAGTTTAACCTAAAAAAATAGTCCACATACTGTTTTAAGACAGCATTCAGTCACCTGAAATTTATCACTAAGACAATCACTGCTTTTGATAGTTTAATTCTTATTTTGCTTTACATTGAAACATTAAAGAGTTGTATTAGATACCCCAAACTGGCTTTAGTGACACCAACCTGCCTGTGGTTTGCTCAACACCAACTATGCAAGAAAAAGCATCCTATCAATCTATGCTTATTTCTGATGTACCTATTTGTTGCAGTTATAAGAATTTCCAATAAGAAAATTCATCTTCTCTTTCCACTGGTTACAGAGGGCTTCTTGATTTTGCTTTTTAACACAAATTTCAAGCAAGACAAGACTTCTGGGCTTTTTTTGGAACATGAATATTGCATTCTATTTTTAAAAAAATAATCCAATAAAAGTGTTTTTTCTTAACTTTCATTGGCCTAATAAATTTCATTATGTCCTATACCATATTATTTCTGTTCCGTTTTCGTTATCTCCAACAAATCTGGAATCAAAAGCCACCACCTTCGCATTTTATTCACAACAGCATGGACTCGAAATCTTAACATACAGAAACACTAAGCAACCTTCTCAAATCCCTTGTGATTCAAGTGAAAAACTAGAGCAGAAAAAATAAGTTCACTGGACTTACTTTGCTTAACTACAGTTTCCTTATTTCTGCATTTCAAATGAACACTGGTGTTCAGAATTAGAGCTCTAAGGGAGAGAGCATCACTTCCTCAGTTAGGTCATGTGGGAGAAAAATAAGAAGCCTGCTTAACTTAATGCACTTTCAAAAGAGTTTACTAGTTCACTAATTCTTCAGATATTGTTTAGAGTTTTCAGTCACCAGTAAAACTATCCAAATGAGAATCACTATTATTAATTCCCTTACAAGGATGTAATTGATATTTCTCTATTATTCTTTCTGCCTGAAAACTTCAATGTCTACATACATTGATTTAAGACCAGAACAGTCAGCTTCTGAATTCAATACAGTAGGATTATATAGTAAAATAAAAACTCTGATGTAACAAAAACTTGATAGCAGCACTGCAAGTATTATAGCATACCCTAGGAAGGGTGTTCCATGAGGCCTGCTTCTTCACTTCACCTCAGAATTTAGAAGAATAGAAACTGGAATAGAGAGTCTGGTTTAAAGAATTACTTCCACTCAGTAATTTTTTGGCACAGACTGTTTCCCTTCACAACACAGATCACGTATTGAAAGGGACCCAGTATAGATTAAAAAAAGAGAAAAAACACAGGTGACCTTTCTTTAGAATAATATTTAAATGCAACTTTCCTACATGCAGAGGTGCCTCACATTCATCAATAGTTCAGCCACATTAACATTAAATCCTGTTCTGAAGTATTACCTAATGAACTTACTTTACACTTTTTTATAAGTTAGTCACTATGTGACCAGCTGCTATAAACAGGACTTAAGTTTTATTAACGCTGCACAAGGACTGGGACATGTCTGCTTCTAAACCTTTCCCCTGCACTAGCCCAGTGAAACGAAACATGTCTCTTTGCTTATACAAACCAAGGCAACATTTTTTGTCAGAATGCAGAAAAGGGCAAGAGATGTAAGCTATTGAATAGTGCTGGTCTTACAGGAATTAATTTCATGCAATCAAAACAGTAACTTATATAACCTACTATATCCAAAATAAAGTTATTAATTACTTTTCTGTGCTGTAAAAAAATGGCAGTGAAAAAACTTCAGTTTCATCTTATAGCCAACACATTCCCATCGTGAGAGCAATCAGTTTGACAAAACCACAGCAGAGTACCAGCATCTCTTCAGAAAAAAATAAAAGTATCTGGACCACAGTTAATAACAGGAAACACAGGCCAATGCACGGTTTGGATCCATCCCCTTTCTGGGCCATACTGTACTCAAATCTTAAGCCAAAAATATAATTATTTTCCCCCCTTTTTCCACTGACTTATTGGCCCAGAAAGATTCCTCAACAGAGTCTCAGTATAGCAGTAAATAACTGTTTAATGCTAATGCTCAAGGCAGAGCACGGTGAAATCATCACGTAAAGACTCATCATTGTTTCTTACCACACCTCTGCAAATGTCCTTTGGGAAAAATAAAATATTAACATGCCCACCTTAAAACATGCATGGCTTAGGGCTGTAGTAACAGGTGTTAATCAGTAACATCTCTCCTCAAAAAACTTATTTAAGAAACTGCTTCAACAGACAATCTTCAAAGAAACTTGGCCTTAAAAGATTGTCCACCACCATGACTTTGATAGGGTGGAGACAGCAGAAAGGCAGAGAAACCAATGCATCTGATCTAGTCTAGAACTCTAATGCATGAACTAGCAAAGTTTATTTAAAAACCTACATGATAACCAGGCAACTTTTAAAACACTAAAAAAGTGGTTCACTTAT